TCACAGATCTTGGGGGAAGGCCCTGGGCCACTCCAGCCCTCATGGACCCTGGGGGGAAGCCCTGGGCCACACCATCTGTGGCAGATCTTGGGGGAAGGCTCTGAGCCACTCCAGCCATCGCTGACCCTTGGGGGAGGCTCTGGCCCAGGCCCCTCATGACAGAACCTGGGGGGAACCTGAAAGCCAGGCCACTAGTGTCTGGGACCACAGTGTCCACGGTCAACCTATTTTCACGACCCAGCACAAGGCCACCACCAGCTCTGCCCATCCCAGGGACCTGGGCGACACCCATGTAATTGTAGTTGGATGGGACTGCAGGGGCCATGCCAGGCAGCTCGTGGTGTGGGGTCACTGGAAGAGGGACGCTGGCCTGATAGACTCTGGGCTTCAGCTGGGCCTGGTTTGTCCCATGTCTCTGGAGCAGAACAGGTGGAGGGAGGCCCTGGGCCAGCCCTGAGGTCCCGAGAGACCCCTGGGGTATCAAAGAGGCACCAGTCTCCAAGGCCTGGGATGCCAGGGTAGCAGTGCCATCGGCCACTGGAGTCTGGCTCTGGCGCACAGAAGCATCTGTGCGTGGCCATGAGGTGGCCCCCAGGGACAGGCTCAGGAAGGTGCCGGCTGCCTGGTGGCCCTGGGGCATGCTGGCCATCACACCCTTGTACCAAGCACACTGGCGCACACCAGGACCCCAGGCTGGACTAGGGTTCTCCTCATGCGCCTCACAAGCCTGACAGAGATGGGCTGTTGGGACAGTGGCCATACTTGGTGTCCCCCCATAGATCTCGGGGGGCTGATAGAATTCAAGGCACGTGTCATCAAGCTCAGTGTTCTGGAGTCTTGAGACCATGCCGGTCACCGTGAGATCATCCCTTGGGCCCATGTCACTCCCCAGAGGTGCCTGGTCTAGGCCCTGGCCCGGCCTGATGGCCAAACTGGGGTAGGACCTGCGGGAGCCAGCAGGCACAAGGACAGAGGGGTGACACTGACCAGGCTCAGCCACATGCACCCCTGAGCCTGCCAGGTCTGAGCTTCCCATGGAGCTAGAAGGTGGAACAGGGAAGCCTTGCCCTCCTTCCCAGGCCCCTGGCTGCTGGGCCAGACTTGGGGACCCTGGATTGGCTCCACGTGGCTGTGATACATAAGGGAACATCCTATCAGCCGAAGATGGGCGGGCCCGGCCCAGTCGGAAGGACATCTTACGGGACAAGAGTGGCTGGCTTAGGCTTGTGGACACATCACTGGCCATAAGAGATTTGGAGAAACTTGGGGACCCCCCACTGGCCATAGACGGCAGAGGCAGGCTTGGGTTCACCACTGAGACTCCAGATGGCTGGTGAGACCCTGGGCGCACCCTGCTGGCCACAGGCGGAGGCCTCCCTAGGCCTGGGGATGCCCCCTTGGTGCCAGATGGCCCTGTTCCCATGGGGCCCAGTCCACCAGCTGTGGAGACACAGGCTGAGCTGGTGGCCAGTGCCCCAGCTGCCACTGTCTGGGCTGGCCCAGGGACCATCCCACTGGCCGCAGATGGGTGGCCTAGGCCTGAGGACACCTTTGAGGACAAGGTCGGCTGGGACCGGTGCAGAGTCAGCCCAGTGGGCAGTGAAAGCTGGCTAAAGGTTGGGCACCCCCCAGAAGCCCCAGAGCACGGGCCCAGGCTTGGGGCTGCCCTGCTAGCCAGCGAAGGCTGAGACAGGGGACGAGAGAATGTGGGGACCACAAGTGTCTGCAGGCCCTCAGCAGGGATCCCGGAGCTCAGAGACTGAGTCCTCCTGGGGCCGCTCTGGAAGGCCCCCCGAGCCGTTCTCCTGGACCCCTCCACAGAGTGCTGGTCCTCCTGGCCTTCTGCCTCCCAGTGGACGCTCACGGCCAGGCAGCTGGACTCCAGCATGTGGGACAGCGTGGGCTTGCGCCTGGGGGCCACAGGGGCTGGGCAGGGGGGCCGCAGGCTCTGGGACCTCTGGCCGGTTCCTCCCGTCTTTTCTGGGGCCTGCAGCCTCTGGGGACACTGCACAGGCTCCCAAGACAGCAAGGGCTTCAGAGAGGGGTCCTCTTCCCAGCTGCCCTCCCTGGGGTGGTCCAGCACCTCAATGGCGGCCACGCTGCCCATGGACCCAGTGGAGAGGCTGGAGGAACTACATGAAGTGTTGCTGCCTGGGCTTTGGGGCTTGGAGCCCCGGGAGGTGCTGTGGGCCAACACACTGGGCACATCGGCCACCAGCCCACCAACGGGGTGCACTGGCAGGCCGGTCGCCGGCTCACGAGAGGCAGGCAGGATAGAAGCAAGACCCTGGGAGAGATCTTTCTCCTGCTGGGTGGGCAACTGGGGACACAGCTGTAGCAACCTAGCACTCCTGGACTCGTGGGCCGCACGCTTTCCTCCCCGTCCCCTGGATGCCTGGGCTTTGCCCACCACAGCAATCTTCGGTGCACCTGGGGTCTCCTTCTTGATCGTCTTGGAGGTTTGTTTGGAGTTTAGGGGCTGGACACTTTTGGGGTTCCCACGGGGGAGCCTGGACGGCTGCCTTGGGCCTGTGGCCACGGCGGGACAATGGGGGTGGGGGGTTACCGTTCTGGCTCCCACAGATTGACACCAGCAAGCTGTGCCATGACTGGTGGGGGTAGATGGCTGGGAGGGGGTGCCCCGCCCTGCCCCCACCCTACCTGAAAGCCTCCCTGGGGCCATGCTGCCCTCCCCCAACAGTGGCCCGGGATGAGGGGCTACCCTGCTGACCACATGTGGCTGCTGGGCACTCTGGACTGGACCATGGGTCACCGACGGCCGGCTGGTGCTCGGGCCGATACCAGTGGTGACAAATGGCTGCCAGGGCCCAAGAGGTGGCTGGAGAGGGCACGGCCGGGGCAGGCAGGGGCTGTTACCCCCCACTGTGGGGCTGGCATCACATACCAATTTGCCAGTCCCTGGGGTTGAGCACACATTCTCCTTTCTGATTTGGGGGCTCAGGTAGGGGTCTGAGAAGACCCTGCCCAACCCCACCCAGCACGATAGCAGAAGCTCCCGACCTGAGATGAGGTGACGCGGGTCCTCATGGGTGGTCACCCTCACACTAGAGGCAGTGGCCACAGAGAAGTGGGACAAGCAGGGTGACCCCTCAAGCACAGCCCCATCACCTCTGTCCCCCCACAAGCCCTCAGCAAAGCACTCCCAGATGCCCACCTTGCTGGGCTGCTGCCACGCAGGGGAGTGCACGCAGGGCCCCCATGCCGTCACCTGCGCCGGGGCCGGTGGCAGCGGCATCTTGCTGCTGGTCACTTTTGAGGTGGCCTTGGGGAGAACAGCCCCAGTCCGGGGAGCTGCCCGGGACAGGGACTGGCAGAGGATGGCCCCCAGCTTGCCCTGGCTAAGGGCCTGGCTCAGGACCGCCCTCTCCTCCTGGGTCAGTGCCCTGCGGAGCACCTCGGCCACCCTGCCGTGCACGGCCTTGGCGAGCTCTGTGCGCAGCTCACCCCGGGACAGTGCGCGGGATAGAGTGGTGCCTAGCTCGCCCCAAGACAGTGCCTTCGCCAGGACCAGTCCCAGCATGCCCTGGGGCAGGGCCTTGGTCACGGTGGCCCCCCGGGCCTCCTTGGACAGCACCTGGGTCAGGGCGGCCCACACTTCGCCCTGTGAGAGCGCCTTTGTCAACAGCACGCGCAGGTCCTCCTGAGAGCCCAGGGCAGTGACCAGTTCCGTGCACAGGGCTGTGATCTGTGAGGCCAACATGTCCTCCTGGCCAGGTGTGGCCTGGCTGGGTGTTGGCAGCTGGGCCCGGGTGGTGCTGCTGTCGCCCCAGGATTCCACACTGCAGCTGGAATATGTGGCAGTGGCCGCAGTCAGCAGAGGGACCAGCGTGCCCTGGGGCTCCAGGACAGTGGTGGGGCGGGTGCCCTGGGTGGCCTTGCCCGGTCTGTGGTCTTGCTTGACTCGGGTCCCCGGGAGCTGGCAGCAGGGCGTGGACTCCTTGGGCCGGGTCAGCATCGGGTGGGACTGAGCCTTGCTGCCGAGGTCGGCGGAGGGCTGGGCTGCATGCAGGCGCCTGGCTGTCTCTGCCAGCAGCTGGGCCTGGGACTGCGTCCTGGTCAGACAGGTGACATGGCGCGCCGGGGATGGGGCCTTGGTGGGACAGGTGGCCAGGTGTGGCTGGGACAGGGCCTTGACCTGCTCTGTAGGTGGGTGGACATGGGATGAGGCTGCCGGGCAGGTGGCTCCCTGTGGCTGGGCTGGTACCTTGGCTGGCTGCCCTGGGGCCAGGGCCTTGGTCAGCGGCACAGCCACCTGAGCCTGAGGCAGGGCCACAGCCACCTGGACGGGCATGAGTACCTGGGACTGGACCTTGATGGCATCCGTTTTGCGTGGGGGCTGGGAAGGGGGCTGGCCCTTGTCCTTGGTGACCCTGGCCCACGGCGGTGCCCTGGCTGCTTGCGTTGCCACGTTGGTCTTGGACGCTGAGTCCTTGCTCACCAGTTTCCGGGTGCCAGCGTGGGTTTTCTTGGCTTCTAGGCTTCCCCTGGTTGGAGCCCCGGGAGCCCCAGTTTCCAGATGTGGCTGGGGGACACCCTTGACCCTCCTTTCAGCCCAACAGGAGAGGTCTGAGACGTTCACTGTCCATGCTGTCGCTTGCCTTGTGTTTGTTGGAACCTTGGTCCTCGATGTGGTCAGGTGCAGATTGGATGAGCTGCTGGGAACTGTGGCCGGCGGTGCAGCCTTGAAGTTTCTGGTGGCCGGAAGAGTAGGGCACAGCGTCTTGAGGGCAGCAGCGATAGAGCGGATTTGGGCCGGGGTCCTGGTGATCATGGCTGCCAGGCGCATCTGGGGCGGGGGCTTGGGCGTCAGGGCCATGGGGCCTGTCTGGGATGGAGTCTTGCACAGCATGGCTGCCTGAGTGGCTTGTGGCGGGCTTCTGACCGGGGCAGTGACTGGGTGCACTGGCGGGGAGGTCCTTGTCATCTCAGGCACTGAGCCCTGCTGGGGTGGGATCCTGCTCCCAGGGGCTGCTGGGTGCGTCTGGGGATGGGCCTTCATCACCGAAGCCAACGGGGACACTTGGGGCAGGACCCTGGTGTCAGGGGCTTCGGGGCATGATGGTGGGGGAGGGCTGGCCAGCGGTGTTGGCAGAGCCTGGTCTCGGGCCTTGGTCGGCGTGGGCGCCGGGCATGTCTGGGGCTGTGTCCTGGTCAGTGTGGGTGCTGGGTAGATCTGAGCTGGAGGCCTGGTAGGGGCAGCCCTGGGATATGTCTGAGCTGGGCCCCTGGCAGTTCCAACCATGTCGCAGGTCTGGGAAAGGGTTCTGGGCAGCTCTGCTTCCATGTGGGCCTGGGCCCTGAGGGCTCCAGATGCTGCCTGGCTGTGTCTCCGGGAGGGGTGTGGCTCTGGGGCCCCCACTTTGGTGGTTCTGGAAGTCACACGTCTGGACTTCACTGCATCTGCCACCACGTGACCACTAATGAGGCAGGGGCTCCTGACAGTCGTGGTCAGCACGCATGGCTGGCATCTGGGATCGAGGCTCCTGGGGTGCTGGAGGCTGCCAGCCATAGCCTGGTGCAGCAGTATGACCCCCATGGGGGCGCAGGGAGCCTGCAGGCCCGATGCTGGTGGGCCCTGGGCTGTAGGAGGCGGCAGCAGGCAGAGGCGGGGTGCATAGGGCTCCAGGGTGACGGAGGCTGGGACCTGCATGTCCTCACTCACAGTGACAGGCTGGGGCCCGAAGCGCACCTGCTGCGGCGGGTGGTAGGGGATGTCACCCTCCTCTGCGTGCACCCTCGCCCTCATCCTGCTGGTGCGACGCAGGCGCCGGGTGCTGAAGCGCCGCCAGGCCTCCTGGATGGCCTTGGCTGCCGTCATCTGGGACACCAGCTTCTGTCGCAGCCGGTGGCCCCTCCAGTTGGCCTGGATGAGGGTGGCCGCCCGCGCGTGCATCATATCCATCTCGTCCACCAGGATGTTCTTGAAGGCCTGGCTCTCCACCACTGCCCGCAGGCGCGGCACATAGTGGGGTGCCACCGGCTGCTGGGGCAGTGGCTTCTCACAGCTGGGGAGTGCCTGCTGAGGCTGCGGAGCTGGTTTCCCCGTGGCGCCATCCTGGGGGTTAGAGGTGAGCTGGGGCTGCAGAGGATGATGCCCACTTGGTGACAGCTGGGTCGTGACTGGGAGCTGTGCCGCTTGCTGCATTGTGTTGGTTCCTGAGTTTGGCTGGGCCTGTGGGGGGCACAGGAGGGCGACAGCAGGGGTGTGAGTGGGTGATGGGCAGGGGATGGATGACGACGGGCTGGGGGTGGACCGGTCCCTGTGTGGACAATGGGGAGATGCCTGGGTGGATGGGTGGGTACATGTGTGGATTGGGAGAGGGTAGATAAGGATGGATGACGGGTGGACAGGTGCGGGCGTGAGCTGATAAACAGGGATGGGTAGGCGGGTAGGCGGAAGGACAGGCCAGCACTCTCGACTGACTGACGGAGGAAGGAGTGGGTGGCAGGCTGGAGAGACAGCTGGACAGGGGGGAATGGGATCATGTGGGGGCAGGCGGTGGGGGACGAGGACGGAGCCGGCTCCGGGCTGGGTGCAGGCTGGGAGCAGGCTCACCTGAGGCCCGCTCCACCCTGCCCGCCGGCCACCCTGGAGGCTGGGCCGGGATGCACGCTCGGCCTCCTGCGGTCACGGAGCGCTGCGGCGCTGGCGGGGCCTACCGCGTGCGACAGAGCTGCCGGGAAATGCGGGGGCTCTGGGCGCTGCGATGCAGGCTGGGGGTGGCCGGTCGGTGCACTGATTCAGCGGGCACCACCCTAATCCGGGTAGCCAGGATACAAAAATGTATCCCTCGCCGGGGAGATGGCTCAGTGGAATAAGCGCTTGCCTGGCAAGTGCAAAGGCCTGAGTTCAATCCCTGGTGTTCCACCAAAAAAAAAAAAAAAAAAAAAAAAAAAACTGAGGAAAAAAAAAAAAAAAAAGTATCCCTTTCTCTCTCCCTTGTCCCTTTCTCTCTCCCTTGATGCTTGTGCTATCTTCCGCCACCATGACCTGTCGCCCTCTGCCGTGGGCCACCCTGCCTTGGACAGTGGACAGTGGCCTGAACCCTTCACTGACGTAAGCTTTCCTACTTCCCCCTTTAAACGCGGGGGTTGGATGCTTTGTCTCCTCAACAGGTAACCAAGACAGCGCTTCTTCGCAAAGTCGGGTCCCCTCCGCCTGTGCCCTGCGGCGCTGCTCTTTGGCGCCCCCCAGTGGCTGAGTTCTCACGAGCAAGGGAACCGGATTGACCCGTGCTGCAACTCGGTCTGGGGCCGGGGGCTCTCGACTGACAAAGGAGCGAGCATTTGATGCCTAATCCGCGGGTGCACGGCTGGCTGGGGGCTAGGTGGATAAAGGGTCGGGCGGAGATGGGATGGGAAAATGAAGTTGAACACACGCATGAACAGGAAAGGAGAGCCCTAAGGAGGGAGTCAGATCCGTGAAGCTTCAAGAGGCCTTGCGGATAGATGCGGGCAGCTCAGAGGGAGGGTAGCTGGGCGGGGAGTCAGGGACTGGAGGAAGGAAGGCGGGTGAGGACGGAGGGAGGGCGGGTGCGCGGGCAGGAGAAGAGACGATTCGTGGATACGATGTGTGGACGGACCAGCCAGGGAACAGGCGGGTGACGGGTCTATGAAGGCATGGATGGATGGACGGAGGGTGGTGGGTAGGTGGACGTCCAAGTGGAGACAGAAGACTGGTGAGAAGAAAAGGAACGGGCAGCGGGTAGGTGGGCAGGTGGGTGGGCAGATCCGGGTGTGGCTGGCAGATGGATAGAGGGGTGGCAGGAGGAAGGGCGAGTGGAAGGGGACAGGGTGGCCGTAGAAGCAGCCCGGGTGCAGAGCCAGGACACCGCCACCCTTGCCCGCCTACCTTGAGGGTCCCAGAATTGGAAGAGCAGCAGCAGAAGGCGCAATCTCAGAGGCCAGCCTGTAAGAGGAGTCCTCCTTTGGCTCTTCATTCCCTGGGACGTGCAGCAACACCGCCCTGAGCTGGTTCTGTTCTTAAAACCAGGGCAAAAAGAAAAAGCTAAAGCCTCAGGCTGGGGTGCGGTTCAGTGGGGAGCGCTTGCCCTGTATGGGTAAGGCCCTGGCTGCCACCCCAGCATCGCGAAAAGCAAGCATGGACACCATGAGAATGGCTTCTTTTTTAAATTACTGGAGATTGAACCCAGCGCCTTTACACTGAACTGCAGCCCCAGCCCTTTTTACTGATTTGTATTCTGAGACACTGCGGCCTTGCTAAGTTGCCAGGGCTGGACTTGAACTTCCAATCCTCCTGCCTCGGCCTCCCAGAGTGCTGGGATTACAGGTGTGCATCACCATCTTTTAGTAAAAGTAAGCTTTTGTGCTGGGAAATTAGGGAGTTAGGCTTTCTAATCAAAGCTGCATGATAACTTGATCTTTTTATGCAAATTGTAAAAGGGATGTTCTTCTTTCTCTCCCTGCAGAACCGGGGATTGAACTCAGACCCTTGCGCTTGCCAGGGAAGCACTTATTCTACTGAGCCATGTCCCTGGCCCTCTCTTTTCTTTTTCGTTTCCCAGATAGGATTTCACTTTGTAGTTTAGGCTCCAGCCTTGAACTCACTATGTAGCCCAGGCTAGCCTTGAACTTGCAGTGATCTTCCTGCCTCAGCCTCCCTAGTGCTGGATGACAGGTATGTGTCACCATGCCCAGCCGAAATAATGGCTATTTTATAAAATAATGTATCTTGATCTAACTCTCACTCATGGATAAGAGCAGATATTCTATCAAAACCAAGAATGGTTATCAAAATAATATGAGAGGCACTCCTTGCTCAAGGACTGAGCTCTCTGGGCTGGTAAATGAGCTGGTGGATGAAGAGACGTTGTACGCAGCATGGACGCTACAGCATTCAGGACAAAGAAGCGATCAGGGGACACCCCAACTTGGTGACTTTGCTTTATCCATGTCACTCTGCCATGCAGTACTGTTACGGGTGACAGAACAGAAAACCACAGCATGGCAGGGCACAGCACAGTCAGCAAAAATGACAGAACTGCAAGAACAAGGTGAGGACGCTACCAGCTGGGTGGACAGCCATAATCCCAACAGCCGCTAAACGAGCCAGGCACCAAACGAGGGGCAGCTGCGCACAGCTGAGGCGGCGCCATCCCAGGGCCGTAGGATAATTGGCTATTTACAAACCCCAGGACCATTGATTACATCTAGAATCTTTTTTTTTTTTTTTTTTTTTTTTTTTAGGGGGGTGGGTACTGGGGATCGAACTCATGATCTTGTGCTTGCCAGGCAGGTGCTTATGCCACTGAGCTATCTCCCCAGCCTTACAGCTAGAAATTGAACAACAGTCATGATTTTGTTCAAACATCTGATTTTGTTCAAACAGTACCTAAATAGTATTTTATCAAACCCAATAGCTTTTTTTTTTCAGAACTGGGGATTGAACTCAGACCTTTGCGCTTGCCAGGGAAGCACTTATTCCACTGAGCCATCTCTCCAGCTCCCTGATAGCTTTTTTTTTTTTTTTGGCAGAACCGGGGATTGAACTCAGATCCTTGCATTTGCCAGTCAAGCACTTATCCTACTGAGCCATCTCCCGGGGCCCTCTGATAGCTATTTTTAATAAGAGTATATAAAAATAGGCAAGCTAATAGCTAAACATGGTAATGCTGACAACAAAACCACAGCAAATGTCATGTTATCTGGTGTTGCTTTTTGGTCTTTGTTTTGACAGATATTAGCCACCACACCTGGCTAGAATCAAGTTTTGTTTTGTTTTGCTTTTAAAAAGACTTAATTTTATGCTACCTGATATATGCTTTAAATGCAGACAAAGCCAGGCATGGTGGGGCACACCCATCATCCCAGCACTCCAGAGGCTGAGGCAGGAGGAGCGCTGTGAGTTTGAGACCAGTCTGGGGGCTACAAAAGTGAGCACAAGGCCAGCCCAAACTGCATAGCGAGACCCTGTCTCAAAAAGACAAACTAAATTAATGTAGACACAGGTATGTGGAAGGCAAATGGGCAGAACAAACTTCACCACACAAGAGCAGGCATGCAAAGGCGGATGGGCCGCACGTGTCACGCACAGGGATCACACGTCACACTTTACACCGCAGAAGGCCAAAGAGCAACATGTGTGTCCATGCCGCCTTCCAGAGCCATGCAATACAGCCAGCCAACAGGGGCAGGACTCAACAGGCCAACTGGAGTGGATGCAGGAGGCCTTCACACCCTTGCTTAGCAACTGGTCACACAACCAGACCAAGAAAAGGAAGAAAAACTGACAGACGAGATGTGGTGACCCAAGACGCTATTAGTCGCATGTACTTCACTACCATTTCCCTCCAGGAAGACTGAGGTGCGGAAAAGCAGGGTTATTGCCCACCACAGCCATATTGGGACCCCTAAATCCTCAGCTTGGGATGGGACTGGGGCCAGGAGTGTCCCTGCCCCTTAGGGAGCCCGCCTAACCATAACACACAGGCCTGTCACTGCAGTACTTGGGAGGCTGAGGCAGGAGGGTCACCAGCCTGGACTACGTTTAAGTTGCAGGCCAGCCTGAACACATAGGGAAACTGTGTCTCAACCCCCCACCCAAGAGAAGAGAAGACAGGAGGAGTGAAGAGGTGGAAGGAGCAGGCCCCCAGGACACAACAGCTAAGAGAAGGCTGACCAATTCCATCTCAGTTTCCTTGTGTCACGTAGATTAAGACCACAGTCCCTACAGAGACATGCGCACTGGCCAAGATGGGCCTCAGTAGCACAGACCCCCCCCCAAGGCTTTGAGGACCCCAGGCACCCCTTTTCTAAAAGGTTGAGCTGCCCAGCAGAGCAGCCCAGGGGGACTTCAGGGGCACAGAGGAGAGTGACAGGGTCCCCATGTGCCCGCAGAAGCCCTGCCAGGCCCCCTCACCTGCCCCCGCAGCTGAACGCACCAGCCCCAGTAGCTGGGGCTAGCACTGGGTGCTGCCAGGGTGCTTTGTGACCCTGCTGGATTCCGGCCAATCTCAGCAGCCCTCGGGGGAGGGGGCTCTGGAAGGCAGGGCTGGCATGGCACTGGGATATGGGTAGGTCTGAGGCATGTGGCTTCTATCCCTGGCCTGGACATCCTGGGCAGAAGGATGGGGATCTGGGCACACAAGGGACCCCAAAACCTGCTTCTCCATAATGTGGAGGCTTTCACCCTTGGGTATTCGCTGGGCACCTACTGCATGCTGAAACCTGCCTCCAGTGTGGTGGCCACATGCAAATAATCTGAGATTTAAAAGTGGAGGCTAGGGGCTGGGGAGATGGCTCAGTGGAATATGCACTTCCCTGGCAAGCGCAAGAGCGCCACCAAGCATGGTGGTGTCAGCCTGTGGTCACAGCACTAGGGAGGCTGTGGCAGGATGATCACCTTTGGTTCAAGGCTAGCCTGGGCTATACAGTAAGTTCAAAGCCAGCCTGAATTGCACAGTGAAATCCTGCTTACAAAACAAAACAAAAAACCCCACAAAACCCTCCTAACTGGAAGCTGGGAGGGGAGGATCGTAAATTCAAGTCTGGCCTGGGCTACTAAGTCTCAAAAACTGAAAAAAGAAAAGAAGAGGTACTGGGAAGGGCTGGCCAAATAGCTCAGCAGATTAAAGCACCTGCTTAGGCAAATGTAGGGCCTGGGAGTTAGATCCCGGGCCTGCCAGGCTGGCTCCACCCCCAGGGCATGCTGAGATGGTGACTGAGACTGGGCATGGTGGCATGTGCCTGTAATCCTAGCACTTGGGAGGCTGTAAACAGGAGGATCAGGACCAGGGAGATAGCTCAGTAGAATAAGTGCTTGCCTGGCAAGCGCAAGGCCCTGAGTTCAATCCCTGGTACTGAAAAGAAAAAACAAACAGGAGGATCACTACAAGTCCAATCTATGCAGTAAGACCCTGTAGACCCTGTTCTAAATACACACACACACACACACACACACACACACACACACACACAAAGACATGATGGCACGTGCCTGTCATCCCAGCACTTGGGAGGCTGAGGCAGGAGGATCATTGTGAGTTCAAGACCGGCCTGGACGCTACAAAAGTGAACAAAAGGCCAGCCCGAACTGCATAGAGAGACTCCATCTCAAAAAAAGTGGGGGAAGTGGAATGGCCTAGTAAGGAATGGGGAAGAATGGGGGAAGGAGTTGTAGGCAGATGCACCGGCAAAAGCAGGCACCAAGGGAGAAAGGAGCTGGGTGTGACCAGGAGCCTGAGGAGGTTTGTAGCTGGGGCAAGTAGGTGGGGCCTCTGAGAGCACTGTAGGAGTGTTTTATTTCTTCTGGCGGGGGAGTTTATCTCTTCTGTGCTGGCAGATTGATGCTGGAGATTGAATCCAGGGGTGCTCTACCAGTGAACCACACCCTAGCCTTGTTTTTGATTATTTTGAGAGTCTCCTAAAACTGCTCAGGTTGGTCTCTAACTTGAGAGCTTCCTGCCTCGGCCTCCCAAGCAGGTGGGATCACTGGCATATGCTGGAACTTGGGTTTTACACAGAAGGTGCAGGGCTGAGAGAGCTCAGAGCAGGCTGGATGCTAGCGGCTTTCCATTCTCCAGGACTGGGCGGCATGTCCAACTCAGCTGGGGGGGGGGTGCTGGAATTGAGACGCCCAGGGCTTCCCACACGGCGACAACGGGCACTGCCCCAGGGCCATATACCATATACCCGGAGGGGGCCACCCAGAGTGAGTCACTGCCCCTAGGCCAAGACTGACACACACCTTGGCCAAGGCCAAGAGGATCAGCCTCCCCTGGGAGCCCCTGGGGTGTTAGAAGAGGCCTGAAGGGTGGGGCCTGGGAGAAACCAAGGCCAGGAGCTGACCCTGGCTACTTGGGAGGCTGAGGCAGGAGGGTCAGGGGTTCCAGGCCAGCCTGGGCAACTTAGACCCAGAATCTGAATAAAGTGTTGGCCCCAGAGCTTGGTGTCAGGTTCTCCATTCAACCCCTTGGGCTACGAAGAAATAAAGGGTAAGGCTGCCGCGCAGGACTCAGGTCCTTTCACTAGCTTTAGCAGTGACCAGAGACCCTGCTGGGACGGGGCCCACACAACTCAGAAGCAGCAGGGAGGAGAGGCCAGTGTGCTGGTGAGCACGGCTCGGTGCTGCCTACACACCCCTTAGAGTGGAGTTCAGCTAAGGGGCTACACAAAGGCCCTGGGGCCAAGCAAAAAGGAGACTGCTGGAGCTGGGAGAAAAAACTAGACCGTGCTGGGGGCCACTGCAGTAGCTGCAGAAAAGGGAACAGGCCCGGGGATGGAGCTTGGTGGCACAGCGCCTACCCGGCAAATCACAAGGTCCTGAGTTTTGGGTTTTTTTATAATTTTGGACAGGGTCTCACTGCATAGATCGTACTTGTAGTGATCCTCCTGTGTTCTGCCTCCCAAGTGGTCCTAAGTTCAATTCCCAGTACTGAAGGAAAACAAAACAAAAAAAGTCCCTCTATCCCAGGCTCCCTAGCAGCTGTACAGAGAGGCTGCCCACCTAGACACACCTGCTTCCTGGAGGAAGGGAGGGAGCCCAGGTCACTGAGGGGCACACTAAGCCTGGAGCTGGAGCACCCACCAGTCATCCCAGTACTCAGGAGGCTGAGGCAGGAAGATCACAAATCAAGGTCAGCCTGGACTACATAGCAATATCCTGCCTCAACTACTATTCTTCAAACACTGTGGGTGTAGCTCAGTGCAAGGGCCCTGGATTCACTCCCAGGCAGTGCAGAAATAAATACCAGAACAGTGGTCTGCAGGAGGAAGAGGAGATGCGGAGGGAAGGACCCTACTCTTGCCGGCCAGAAGACTGCGGTGATGTAGTGCCCTTGCTGGGCCCGTTCCACCTGTGAAGTAGGCACAGGTGCCTGCCGACTGGGTGTGACAGGGCCACCGACAGGCACATCCCTCCAAGTCCCGCTGAGTCACTGGTCCCAGGACCTGGGTCCTCGAAGCCCTGTGTGGTCGACCTCCAGCCGCTCGTTCAACCTCCAAAAGTCTTCAAGAGTCAATGGGGCAACACGATGTTGGAGAGGAGGGTGCTTCCTGACCCATCCAGGTCACACTCCAGCCCCGGAGTGGAGGGCGTCTCTCGAGTCAAACCCGCTGTGCCACCTTCTTCGGGGTGGGACCATGGCTTGGTCCCTCCAACAAAGGAGAGCAAGGTTTCTCGGGTCCCACCTGCCCCAGTCAGGGAGGCAGAGGCCAGAAGGGCTAAAAAAAGATGACGTCTCTGCCTGCTCCTTAAGATCTTGGACCAGAGCTGCCAGGTCCCACCTGGAGATCCCCCGTCCCAAAGGCAAAGGGGACACCCACGTCCCCCCCCCGCCCCCCGGCATCTGTGGGGCTGGGCGCCTAGATGGCGCTCGCCTCGCGCCAGATGTGCAGGCCCCGCCCGCCGGCCCCGGGGAGCGGAGGAGGGGGGAGGCGGGGGCTGGGAGCGGCCCAGCTCCGCCCCGGCCCTCAGGCCCGGCGGGGGAAGAAGGAGGCGAACAGGCGAGCTGGCGTAAGGAGTCTTTACTGAAAACAGAACCGGGCGAACCGAGGATTACAAACAGGAATGTGGGCTCGTGGCAAAACAAAACAACAAAAAGGGCGGAGGGGCGGGAGCCGGCGTGGAGGAGCGGCCGGGGAGCAAGAGCCAGGAAAGGGGAGGAGCGTTTTTTTCTTCTCATTTCTTTAAAAAATCCAACACGATAAAACACACGCACACGCAACCAACGTTTGTTCCCGAGTACAAACATAAATAGGGCACAATCGACCACTCCGTTCGTCTCTCTTCCAAAGGCAAAAAATAGAAAGTGAAAGAAAACAGGCTCGCGAGGCTGGAGGTTGCGCAGCCCGCGGCGGCGCACAAAGGGCGGCGGGCGCGGGCAGAGGCGGCGCGGGGCGGGGGTTGTGCGCTCGCCCCCCGGAGAAAGGGGGTCCAGCTTGTCGAGCAGGGGCGCCCTCCTCAGGCCTGGGAACCCTCACAAGTGGGGGAACCCCCGGGCCGCGCCCCTTCCAGTCCTGGGCACCCTTGGAGGGCGACCCCCTGGAAATGGAACCTCTCCTGTCCTGGGCGCCCTAGGGGAGGGATCCCCAAAAGCGCATCCTCTTCAGTCCTGGGCGCCCCCCGGTACCGCTCCCTGGGGCTGCACTCTTCCACTCCCGGGCACTACCAGGGCGATCTCCGGTGCTACACCCACTCAAGAGTCCCGGGCGCCTACGCCGCTACCCCCCGCCCTGGGAGGGGGCCGCGCATGCGCGCCGCTCAGGGCTTAGTACGCGGGCACCTGGTGCTGCGGCAGCAGCTGGCAGCCGCTGTTGACGTGGCTGAGCACTTTCTGCTTGAGCTGTGCCACCTGCTCCCGCAGCAGGCTGGCGGTGGACGCCAGCTCGGTGTTCTGGCTCTTCAGCGTCTTGACCTTCTCCTCCAAGCGCGAGATGCGTTCAAGCTTGCGCTTGCGGCACTTGGAGGCGGCGATGCGGTTGCGCAGCCGCTTGCGCTCCGCCTTGATACGCTCCTGCGTGTCCATGTCGATGGGCGAAAGCGGCGGGCTCTCGCCGAAGCTCGGCACGTCGGGCACCGTCTGCGGCTCGTCCTTGAGCGCCGCCAGACGCGGCGGGCCCAGCGCGCCCGGAGGCGGCGGCGGCGGGAAGGGCACGGGTTCGGCGGCGAAGGCCACGGCCG